GAACAATGATAAAATGACACATGGGGTCCCAGAACAAATGACATGCTGACATTTTGTTGCTGACACTTTGAGGGTGAGGGGGGGTCCCAGAGAAATGACACACTGACTCTTGGGGGTCCCAGAACAATTGACACACTGACTCCTGGGGGTCCCGGAACAATGACACACTGACTCTTGGGTGTCCCGGAACGAATGTCATGCTGACTCTTGGGGGTCCCAGAACAAATGACACGCTGACACTTGGGGGTTCCAGAATAAATGTCATGCTGACACTTGGGGGTCCCAGAACAATGACTCACTGACATTTTGTTGCCATTGAAAAGATTCTTCATTATAGTTCATTCACTCACTGTCACTGTCAGTCCTGCAGTACGCCTGTTTCTGTATGATAACTCCACATTGACTCCCCCACACTGGCACTAGTAGAATTATCTGGGCGGGGTGGGGGTCTGGTCATTGAAAAGACTACTTGTAGTGAATTTCCTGCTGAGTCAGATCCTCCAGTAAGTTCTCAGCCGTTAGTGACACACGTCACACATACGAGAAGTACTTCCTCATGTCTCGGAGGCCCCAACGCTCTCTATTGACACATAGGCGGAGAACATGCTCTACTAGCTCTGTAACTAATCCAGGATATGGAATGCTGTAGAGGATGTGAAAAATGGCTTCTGGCCAAAATAATCCAAGTGCCGGCATCTCTCCTCTCCACACTCCATGCATGTTTGTTTTATGTAATTGAAGTGTGTGTAATCTCAGAAGGTTTCTATTAGTTTTGGATGGAGCAAGGAGGGTTGGAATCCCTTTACCTGTTGCTGTGTGTTTCCAATGGGGAGAGTGGCCCTCTTTCCTTTCTCCTTTACGGCCCGATTAAAGCTGGAAATCCCTGTAGTAGGCACCACTACCATGTTCTGGGTCCTACACTGAGCAGCTGCATTGTGAACATAGAAGGGGCGGACTGACCATTTGGAAACTCGGGCACTGCCCGAGGGCCCGGGGTCAGTAGGGGGCCCCATGAGAGTCCCCTGGTTCCTTTTTCATAGGCTTTTTTAAATTTGGGCAAGGACTCAGGGGCCCCATGATCTTCAATTGCCCGGGGGCTCCATGAGTTGTCAGTCCGCCCTGGAATATAGGAAGAGGCTCGTTTGGCACAGGCACAATTCAGGGAACACTTTTTCTCTGTGTTCTCTAATTGGGTGATGTGTAGAGGTGGGTTTGTGACACCACAATCTCCACCTCATCCAATTATAGAATGCTTGAGAAAATGCAAAGCGTGCACTGAATGGCACCCATGCCAAGCGAGCGACCTCCTGTGTTCACAAAGAATCTGCTCAGTACAGAATCCAGAGACAGAGGCAATCACTGCTGCGTGTACTACAGTGATTTCCAGCTTCCACAAGGAGTGGCTAGGTATGACACATACACATTGGTATGACAGATGGTTACATTGGTATGACAGATACATGGTTACATTGGTCTAACCTGTGCTATTGTTACTATGCAAAAATATCTATACCTGGAATAAATTTTCAAAAGATCATCATTGTGCAAAATTCCATTATTCTTTTTCTCTTTTCAGACACCTCTGTCTCCCTCATAACTGTAATATCACACAGTTTAAGAAGCTCATGGGTGTAGCTGAGAAGCTCATGGGTGTGGCTTAGCAGCTCAGGGGTGTGACTGAACAGCTGGATGTATGTAAAAAACCCATCAGAAAGAGGGAGTAGATCCTCATTCTGGGTTTGGATTGATCTATAAAGATTTTTCAAAGGAAAGGAATATAATAAAACTATATATTTATACATGCCATTTACAATTAACGACAACAACTTTTTTTTTTTTTTTTTCGTTTACCCTCCTTTCTAAACATTCCAGATTTTAGCTGTTTTGCATCTTTATTGTCACCTTTTTCCAAAAGCCCATCAGTTCAGGTGGCATTGTCGAGGTGTGGGATAGGCTTTTCCTTGTGCCTTGGCTATGCTGCTTCAGTGAATTAGGAGCTTGCCATCGAAGGGATTTCATTTCTTCTTCCACATTGTGTTCAGTGCTAATTGGCACAGCAGTAAAAAACTGGCATACCTGGCAAAGGACACAATCTAACCTTTGTTGGGCTGTGACTGAACAAATCAAAGCATGGCAGCCAGGGGCCCAGCGAGGGAGGGGGGGGGGGGTTCTGTGCTGTGGCACCATTCCCGGGGCTACAGAGGCCGTAGAAAGGGTTTAAAGGGCCAATGTGCCCACATTGCATAGTGTATCTAAAATTGGTTTAGGTATGTTAGATTTCAGGAATATTCATGGATGTACTCAGGAAAGTTTTTGTAGGAAATGATCAGATGTCTCAAAATGTCTCAGTACAATTTTTATGCCAAATGAAGAATTGTGTCCATGTATAGGTAGGCAATTCTCACAACAGAAAAATCAAAGTGATGATTGAATTTTTTCTTGTTCAATTTGTTTCTATTGAAATTCAGTACAAGTGCAAAGGGGAATGAGCCCCCAAAAAGTATCTGATACTGTCCTTGCGGCACATTTAGCACACAATGGGCTGTGGAAGTTCAAAGAAAAGAGATTAAGATAACTGAAGTTTTTCCATTGTGCTAAGAACACAGATCTCCTGTTAATGTAAACTGATTTCCCACAGCTGCAGTGTTTGCTGGAGATCTTTAGTAGTTCGCTGTGTGATGTGGTGTGCATTTTTGGAACACCGAGATTAATTTGCATGTCTCACAATGCAAATGAGGGATGGTTCACAAAGCTGGCTCTGCCTTTAGTCTCACGTTATCTTTACAACATAGCAAATTATGTTGAAATAAATAGCTGGGCCCTCTGCAGGTTAATGCCATAATGTGCTCATATACACCACATACTGGCACACATGACACTAGGGCTCCATGTACACGGGACACTTCTGTACGATGAAAACTGACTACTGCTGCCCAGAATGGACTGAAAAACAGTAAAAAAATTAACTATTTCAGACATTTTGAGAGAGCAGAAGCAGAGAGATCAGCATGTGTTGTTGAGATTAGCTTTTTTTTTTTTTTTTGTGGTGTTTGGATGTTTTGCAGCTCATTTCTGTGCAGAAATGATTGCAGCAGCGTCTAACATTTTTTTCTTGCGAAACCTCAAAGTATGGTGTACCAGGTCCATTTGAGTACTGGGAAAACGGTTTGCATGCATTTTCCGTGATTAAAAACATTTTCCAAATGCTTATAAGTGCAGTTAGCTGCCTTTCCAAGCATTTGGCATTTGAAATGCTGATAAAATCTATTCCTGAAGTTTGGTGCGTTCAAAAAAAGACTGCAAACTCAACTGCCTGTAAATGACGATGTGTACATGGACACATAGGAAAACATTAGGGAGAGTTCAGGGGCTGCTGAAAAAATGCAGAAAAGCTCCTAAACGTGAGTTTATCAGCTGCAGTGTACATGGAGCCTAAGCTCTCACGCACACGGGGCGGTTTGATAACGCTGGTACCGTTAGCTGTGTAAAGTCACGTTAAAAATGTGAGTTTTTTTGCGTTTTTGCATTCACGTTTTGCCGCATTTTGTGGATTTTTCCATGTTTGCATGTTGTTGCGTTTTGTTTGGTCAAAAACACATCAAAATGCCAGTTTGCAGCGTTTTGCCACATTTTTCAGCATTAGAGCGTTTGTACAGCTAAACTCCTCTAGAAACCCACTAGTCCTGGGTTTTTTTCTTTTCTAGCTAAAAAACATTGATTCCAGTCTGTGTGTGTATGGACACATAGGATAACATGCTGGGGGGTTTAGTGGCTGTAGAAAAAAACGTCAAAAGCCAAAAACAACCGCTGTAAAAACGCCCATGTGCATGAGGACTTACGTTTCAAAGGGAGCCCACTGGTGGTGTCCCAGCGCTTCCATCTTCGCCTGGTCTTACTTTTGGGTTCACACTCAAGCCGTTTGAATGGCCAGGCCGCAATGGCGTCACAATCTCGCCACTGTGTTCTGTGCATTGAAGGCACTCTGTTAGAAAAACCCCGCATGTCTCCAGTTTTTAAATGTTGGACTTTTATACCACTTTATAGCAGAAATTGGGGGTAATCAAATATCGTCCAAATACAAGAGTCACGTGTTTTTCTTCTTGAATCTTGGCGTGCTTTGTGTATTACTTCCGGATCTGTGCATTAATCCAGTGCAGGGGCGGACTGACCATTTGGGAACTCGGTTACTGCCCGAGGGCCCGGGGTCAGTAGGGGGCCCCATGAGATGCCCCTGGTTGTCAGTCCGCCCCTGATCCAGTGTGAGTCTTCCTGTAATAAAGACCGCTCACTGCTACTTTGTGCAGGGTGACTGGTCTTGTCTCCGCCCCTCCTGTATCTTTCTGCAGGCAGCCTGTAGTGGGTGGGGTCTGCTGGGCCCCTCCTACAGCTCTATTCTCTGCACAGGCTATGTACAGCACAATGATGTCATGGCTATTTTTAGATGGTAATATCTGGGTTTGTAAATGCATTTGTTGAACACAAAGTAGATTTATATCCTTTGTGGCCATTGAGGAATTTATATAATGTTTTTGTGCCTGGAGTTCAGCTTGATACCATGGTGCAGTATTTTTCAGGACCTGTCCATCAGGTCCTAGTGGTTAAGATCCAGTTGTAGTTCTGTTGTCATTTTTGCAGTTTCAGCTTACGTAAGGAGCAAAAAGAAAATGTTTGGAATATTATTTGATGGAATTTCAATCTGAGATGGAAGTATTGCCGTACAATGTATCTTTTTTTTTTTTTCAATAGTGGGCTTGTTAGCTTATTAAACCTGACAGTGATCTCACTCCGCAGTCATTACAGTGAATTGTGGTTTCCAGACCGATATAAATCACAAATGTAAAAATAAAATTAATCCGTTACATAATATTTGTGTCATTAAAATATTCCTGTCAGTCCAGGAATGAGAGCGGTCAAACTGCGCCTGTTATGTAATATTTATATAATGAGGTTGCCGGTGACTGCCTTCACTAATCACACTTTGGTTTTCTTTTCTCTTTCAGTGCTGCTGACCGCCATCAACTGCTACAGTGTTAAAGCGGCGACACGTGTCCAGGACGCATTTGCTGCGGCAAAGCTGTTGGCTCTTTGTCTGATCATCATTCTGGGCTTTGTACAGTTGGGTAGAGGTGAGCCACCTCCTGCATGGAAGATTGTAAAGTTCTGGTCATAGGACGCTAATTTGCTGCTATGGTGCAAAGTTTTACCTGTATTTATTATTATTATTATTATTATTATGATTATTAATAATAATAATAATAATAATAATAATAATAATATAATATTATATATATTATATATATATATATATATATATATATATATATATATATAAATTTATTATTATTTACATTTTTTTAACACCGCCATTACATTCTTCCAGCTTGTAATGTAAGTTGTCAGGTCTCAAGAACTGTCACTTGAATTTTTTATTTCTTTTTGCCCATATGCTTTGTCAGCTGCAGGATTGGACAGGGTACTGCCCCCCCCCCCCCCCCCCATGGCCATTCCAAATGCAGCTGACAATGAGATGGCTGCATGATAACTAACGCTTGTCTCAATTGCAGGCACTTGCCCAAGACAAGTTCTGGCTAGAGGAATGCAGAGGGAGATGGGGCATGTCAGCCCTCTCATTCCTTTGCATTTCTCTTGCCGCAGTTCTCTCCTTGCTATCTACATTGTTGGACAGCTGTGGAGGGAGAATGGGCACCCTGCCTGACCAAGCATTGGCTTAAAAAGCACGTAGGGACAAAGTGTACTTTGTCCCTTGGGGGATAGAACACTGAAAAAAGTTGATGCGGGTGTTCTTCTTTCAGGGATTGTCCACACCCAGTGCATTGCAAAAGCGCATGTTCTCAGGCACTGCATGGAAATGCCCTGCTTTCTGCAGATGCACGTAGGTGCCATTAATTCCTTACATCACCCTGGCACATCTAGCTAACGCAAGTGCATTTTGTAATTTTGAAATTCTTGCCTGCATCACTTTTGCACGATGGGCAGCCCATTGAAATTAATGGGCTGCTCAAAAAGCATCACACATACATGTGTGCAGACATGCCTTAATGGCATGGATGTTTAACCTGTGGCCCGCCAGCTGTTGCGAAACTACAAGTCCCATCATGCCTCTGCCATTGGGAGTCATGCTTGTTACTGTCAGCCCCAAATTACATCACTGACCTTGTCTCCAAATACCACCCAAACTGTACTCTCCGCTCCTCGCAAGACTTCCTACTCTCTAGCTCCCTTGTCTCCTCCTCCCATGCTCATCTCCAGGACTTCTCCAGAGCTTCCTAATTTATCAGACTATTGCCTACTGTGCTCACTTTTAGGCGATCTCTGAAAACCTATCTCTTCAGGGAAGCCTATCCTGCCCTCAGCTAATACTGGAATCTTCTACTCTTCCAACCACTCCATCCCCCACAGTTATTACCTTTTGTACCACTAGCCCCTCCCTCCTAGATTGTAATCTCCAAGGATCAGGGCCCTCCTATCCCTCTTGTATTGAACTGTATTGTTGCTGTGTTGTCTCCCTTTATATTGTAAAGCGCTGAGCAAACTGTTGGCGCCATATAAATCCTGTATAATAATAAAATATATATCCTGTATAATAATAATAATTTGGCCATTTAGGGCAAACCAACTGAAAGAGATCCTGTGCCGGGACAAGGTCCTGTAGCACCCAACATGAAAAGGCCAAAGTGCACCCCTCTCCCATAAGCCATGAACTACTTCGTCAGCACAGGCTGCAGTTTCTGCCCTCTCTTTGAGGGAAGGACCCATCTGAAACTGCTATGCACACTCAGGAACTGAGAGACAGCTCAAGGTTGAAACTGCCACAACGGAAGAGCGATTGGCCTAAGCGAGCCTGCAGAGTTATATTTTAGGACCTAATATTGTTGCATCATCCACTTGTGGGAAGTTAAATAAAAAGAGGCGTGCGCCATCCCAAGGAACGTCTCCCGCACTCCGAGGTGAATGATTTCCATAAAGATGAGAGGTATTAAGTGATTTTCCAGCAGTTATTAGTTTTGGAAGAATTATGCAATTATTCCCGGGGTGCTGCAAAGCGCGTGTGTGCATGCTCCGCCCGCTGCGTTCCACGCACCCTCCCTCCCCCCCGACCTCTCGCTGCTGCCGCTTGCTCTGCCAGCAGCCATCACAAGAGTTGAACACCTCGACTGGAATTAACATGATAAATTCACTGCTTGCCTCATCAGAAAATCTCACCCTAAGAGGATTACCGACAAATCCCGAGCTCTCGGGCTGGCTTTGTACCTAAAGCAACCTGTTTTCTGTCTGTGCCGGTGCTTTACCCGCCTGCGAGTCTGCTCAGACTCCCAGCGAATATTTGATCTAATTACCAGAGATTCGCAGTTCTCTCCAACCAAAATACAAATTAGAACAAATTGCTGATTAGCGTTCCAAGAGGAACCGCAGTCAGAAGAGCGAAATTTTCAGTTTGTGCAGTTAGGCAAGCCATAAATTATGTGATTTTATTTTCGGCAACCAGGGTTGCAGGAAAGAAAATCCCCCAGTTCCCCCCATCAACACTTAGTGTTGATGGGGGAATCCCTACCGTGGAGCTATTGTGTTCTGCAGGCAGGGAGCCTTCCCCGCCGGCAGAGCACAATGATTACTGCTCTGCCAGCAGGGAGCCTTCCCGCACCGGCAGAGCACAATGATTACTGCTAGTGGCTATAGCCACCAGCAGTAATCTTTAATCTGGAACAAGAAAACAAGAACACAAGAAAATCTCCCAGTTCCCCCCATCAACAGTTAGTGTTGATGGGGGAATCCCTCCCGTGGAGCTATTGTGTTCTGCAGGCAGGGAGCCTTCCCCGCCGGCAGAGCACAACGAATACTGCTTTGCCAGCAGGGAGCCTTCCGCACCGGCAGAGCACAATGATCACTGCTAGTGGCTATAGCCACCAGCAGTAATCTTTAATCTGGAACAAGAAAACAAGAAACAAGAAAATCTCCCAGTTCCCCCCATCAACAGTTAGTGTTGATGGGGGAATCCCTCCCGTGGAGCTATTGTGTTTGCAGGCAAGGAGCCTGCAGGCAGGCTCTGCCGGCAGGGAGCCTTCCCCACCGGCAGAGCACAATGATCACTGCTAGTGGCTATAGCCACCAGCAGTAATCTTTAATCTGGAACAAAAAAAAAAGTGGGCTTGTTGTACTGATGTTGATCGATGGCTAAACTTTAGTACAAAACAGCCTGGCCATAGATGGATATAATCTTGGCTCTGCTGAACTGACCAAAATTCGATCCATCTATTGCTGGCTTTAGAGCGGCTTCAGGTCGGTCTTCTCTGCAAGCCTACATCAGTGCATGTAATATGACATACTGTCAGAGCTGCATAAAGGCGTCTTCATCTCCTGAATGAGTTGATCTGAGCACAATAAGTTGCAACCAGGGTGTTCCTCTTTAAAAGAAATCTTTAGCCCTGGTTCACACTGATGTGGTGCGGAATTCGCAGTGTTTTCTGTGCGAATTCTGTACCTCATCAGAATCGCACCCCATTAATGCGAACTGCTGCGGGTGTGTATGTTAAAACCCCGAAAGAAGTCCGCAAAATATGGTGCGATGTGCAGAATTGGATCATATAGGTGTGAATACGATTCTAGTGCGGACCAAAAAAGGGTCCTGCAACCTTTTTGTGCAGTGCGATTAGAGCCATAAAAAATGTACGGCTCCAATCGCACTGCACACAAATCGCATGCGATTTGCACAGGAATGCAGTGCGGTTCCTGGGCAAATCACATGCAATATACCACACCGCATATATGTGAACCCGGGCTTAAACAAACCCTTTCCATTTCCTGTGCGTTTGACATCCTCCAGTCTTCAGTCCTGTCCTCAGAGGACGGTCAGTGAGATCGCTCAGATTAGACTTCTTCCTACATTCAGTCCTGTGTGTTGTCTGATAGCAGAGTGCTGAGTCAGCAGAACAGTGCAAAACAAAAGCACATTCACACGTCGGGCGCAGTGATGTCTGAGGAGTCTGTTTGCCGCCTCTGATAACAGAACACGGATTATGAGGATCGAGTGGAACATTTAGACTTAATTTACACAAGTGGCGTGTTGAGTAAAGGGGGAAAAAATTGTTTTTAAACCTGTTTTTATGCTATTTTGTATGATGTGTATTCCTACAGGTATTCAGGGAACAATAGAACAAGCTGCAGTAAAACAAAGCAAAGACATTCCAAATAAACTTGAGCCCATTAGAGTTGCCCCTTACATCAGATTTCCACTTACATGAGGCTCCCCATCAGTTCCCCCCCTTCCCCTTACATCAGGGTCCCCGTCAGCACCTCCCCTTACATCAGGGTCCCCGTCAGAGACCCCCCTTACATCAGGGTCCCTGTCAGAACCCCCTCCTTACATCAGGATCCCCGTCAGAGCCCCCCCCCTTACATCAGGGTCCCCGTCAGAGACCCCCCTTACATCAGGGTCCATGTCAGAGCCCCCCCCCTTACATCAGGATCCCCGTCAGAGCCCCCCCCCTTACATCAGGATCCCCATCAGAGCCCCCCCTTACATCAGGGTCTCCATCAGAGTCCCTCTTACATGCGAGTCCCCATTTAATCTGGATGGAGGAAGTGCTATCCTCCTGTGAATTTTGGGCAAGCACGTGATTGTTTAGGAGACCAGTTATCCGAGCAACCAACAACGGTTCACTGACTGTTGCACTGGAGAACGGGGGTGGTTGGGTCGAAACAAACTGTTGGCTAACCTGAAGAACCTGCTTAACCAGCTGTGGGCCTGATAAAATCATGCAGCAGGTCATAGTTATAGAGAACTCTGCTTTAGCCCTGCTTCATACCAAATGGCTAAATGGTTAGCACTTCCACCTGGTAGTACTACAGTTGTTGGTTCAAATCCCAGCCACGGCACCACCTGCCTGGATTTTGCATGTTCTCCCTGTTCCTCTGGGTACTCTGGTTTCCTCCCACACTTCAAAAGCCATGCTGGTAGGTTAATTGGCTCCTGTCTAAATTGTCCCTAGTATGTGTATGTATGAATGTGAGTTAGGGACCTTAGATTGTACACCCCTTGAGGGTTAGGGACTGATGTGAATGTACAATATATATGTAAAGCGCTGCGTAAAGTGACAGCGCTCTATAA